TCGAGGTGAGATGGTATCTCATTGTGGTTTTAATTTGCATTTCTCTAATGGCTAGGATCGCAAGCATTTCCTCATGTGTCTGTTGGCTGCTTGAATGTCAGCTTTGGTGAAGTGTCTGTTCATTTCCTTTGCCCATTTTTTAATTGGATTAGTTGTCTTTTTTTTGTAGAGGTGTTGGATTTTCTTGTAGCTCGACCCATTAATTATTATATAGTGTTCTTTGTCTTTTATTGTATACTTCATTTTAAAGTCTATTTTATCTGAGATTAGTATTGCCACTCCTGCTCTTTTTTGGTAGTTGTTTGCTTGATATATTTTTTTCCATCCTTTGATTTTTAATTAATTTACGTCTTTATTTCTAAGGTGTGTCTCTTGTAGACAGCATATTGATGGATCCTGTTTTTTTATCCATTCTGTCACTCTCTGTCACTTTATGGATTCATATAGGCCATTCACATTCAGTGTAATTATTGATCGGTGTGAGTTTATTGCTGTCATTTTGTAGTGCTTTTTTTTTTTTGCAGTGTTGACGTTTTCTTTGTTCCTCTTACTCTCCTGTGCTGAATTCCTTTTCTTTGTGGGTTTTTTTTTTTTTTTCATTTCTTTTGTTTTTGTAGATTTTTTTTACTGAAACTTTATGTTTTTTCCTCTTTATTTTGATGAGTAGGTTTGTTAACTTTCTTTGTGGTTACCGTGAAATTTATCCCTATCTTTCTAAGTTTGAAGCAATCTAGTATTACTTGGTATCGCCTTGCCTTCCTCTCCATTAGAAGGTTCTAAAGCTACACTGTTTAGTCCCTCTTGTATTGTTCTGATGTTGTCATTTACAGATTAACTTGTCTGATTCCCTGTTGTATTTCTTTTGGTTGTAGATAGTCATTGAGAGTTCATTTCCTAGATTCGTATCTGGCTGGTACGATCTTGTGTCCTAGATTCAGCCTGTGAGCTGATGTTGTTTCTTCTCAGATCAAAGGACTCCCTTTAATAGTTCTTGTAAATTTGGTTTGGTTTTTACATATTCCCTTAATTTCTGTTTATCTGGAAATGTCCTAATTTCACCATCATATTTGAACAAGAGTTTTGCAGGATATATTATTCTTAGCTGGCAATTTTTTTCTTTCAAGGTTTTATACATGTCATCCCATTGCCTTCTTGCCTGCATGGTTTCTGCCAGATAATCTGAGCTTAGTCTTGTTTCTCCTTTGTATGTGACTTTTTGTTTTTCTCCAGCTGCTCTCAGGATTCTTTGTTTGTTTTTGGTTTTGGTGAGTGTGAATATGATATGCCTTGGTGATTTTCTTTTGGGGTCTATCCTATATGGGGTTCGTTGAGGTTCTTGGATGGCCAGGTTTTTATCTTTCATGATACTGGGGAAGTTTTCTGTCAGCAGCTCTTCAATGATCCTCTCTGTGTCTTCTGTTTTCTCCCCCTGTTCTGGAATGCCAATCACTCGAAAATTTTTCCTTTTGATTGTATCCACATAATTCTTAGGGTCTCTTCATTTTTCTTCTCTTTTTTTTTTTCCTCTGATTTTTCCTCAAACAGAGTTGTAGCCAAGTGTTTGTCTTCCATTTCTCTGATCCTGTCTTCACTGTTTCAGGCCTGCTCCTCAGCTCTTCTATGACACTGTCCATTTCTGAAATCTTGTTTACCTTTTGGATTTCTAATTGTTGTTTCTGTATGATTTCTTATTGTGAATTTATTTTGGCATTTTGTTCCTGCATTATTTTCCTGAATTCTTCCATTTTTTGTCTTTATTTTCCATGAATTTGTCTGCCTTTTCCGTGAATTTCTTTATTTTTTCCTCATTTTTGTCTGCTTTTTGCTTCAATTCTTGGATAGCTCTGAATATTAAAGATTTGAATTCCCTATCAGGTAGTTCTAGTGCCTTTTCTTCTACTGGAAAGTCATCTGGTGTTTTAATTTGGACACTTACTGGAACCATCCTGTCCTGTTTTTGTAAATGTTTTGATACTGTCTGCTGTTTTTGGAACATTCAGTAGTTATTTTCCTCGTGTATTGATTGTAGATTTGTTTGTTTCATACTGCTTTTGTTTTATTTGGCTATGTCTGAGCAGGCTCACTGTGTGTTCTTTGTTGTTTGCTCATCTGTGGGCACGATACTTTTCACCTCCTTCTCCAATTGGCAGTGTCATTCAGTTAGATATGGTATAGCAGGGCAGGTTTAGCTGAAGAGGAGTTGCTGGGATGGGTTGTTTGTGGCACCTACTATGGCCAACAGGGTGGGTCAGGAATCAGTGTAGGGCAGGTTTTGGTAGGCCGTGCCTGTGCTGTTTGGGGGTGTGCTGTTCAGTGCACGGTGCAGATAAGTAGGATGGGGGGGGGATTGTGATGTGTGGAGCTAAGATAGGTATGAGAAAGAGGAAAGAGAGGATACAGGAATGGGAGCCAAAAGCATACATACAAACAAAAAAGAGTGCTAGCAGAGCTTGCTGTTGGAGTGGAGAGATGAGAGACTAAGAAATGGAGAAAAACAAAAAGGAGAAGAAAAAAATGAATAAATAAAAATTAGAAAGAAAAAATAAAAGAAAAGCCCCCAGGGATTCCAACAGTGCGGCTGCGAGTTCTAGGGAAGTTGCTACCAGGCCATGAAGTACAGCCTGGCTAGAAGGGGTAGAGGTGTTTCTCAGTGCCAGGTATTCAGGAAACAGGAAGAGAAGGTAAGTATAGAGAGACAAGAAACTGAGTAATGAAGAAAGACAAAAAGGGAAAAAGAGAGAAAATAAAACAAACAAATAAAAAAAGAACAAGAAACCCCCCCCAAAAAAAAAAAAAGCCAAGAAAAGAGAAATGTCCTCAGGGATCCTTCTGTGTGCCTGAGCAAACTGAGGGGGTAGGTCCCAAGTCACGCAGTACTGCCCAGCTAGAACGTGCTCCCAATTCAAGAAAGAAAAAGAAAACAAAGCAAAACAAAAAAGCCCCAGATCCCACCAGTGTGGCAGCACTGACCGGGAAGCAGTTTTGCATTCAGTCGGAGATTCACAGCCTTTCAGGAACAAGCAAAGATGGCACACAGAGCAAGGTATTTGAGAGAAAGGAGGGGGAGGTGGTGAGAGGTATGGAAGAAATCAAAAGAAGCAGAAAAAAGCAACACCAGCAACCAACAAATGGCACTCAGGGAGTCAGCCAGTGCAGGCGGGTGGAATCCAAGCAGCCAGTGCTTCCTGCCTAAGAGACTGTGGCCGCAGGAAACAGAGGAGGCCGAGTGGGGGTGAAGAATGGTGGGGGGTGGGAAATCATATATTGCTGGTTATTGGTTGTTCTGTCTCCTGCTGGAAGCTCCGTGAAGCTGCTTTCCTGTACCCCCTGTTCACCAATCTCTGATAGGAGTCCAAGATGGTGGATCTGTGCTGCTTTAGCTGATAGGGGACCTCTGCATGTATCTCTCCTCACTCTCTGTTCTCTGTAAGTTTCTTATTCCATTCGGTGCTTGGCTGAGTTCTTTATCTCTTCATTTGATGCTTAGGGTTTCAGGATTGCTGTTTTCTCTGTTCGGCTTGGTTTGTCTGATCTTTGCTGTGGAGGGACAGTGTGGTGCTTCTGTCTATAGTGCCGTGTTGCCCGGAAGTCCCCCAAAATTAAATATACTTCTGATGGAACTATAAGAAAAAAGTCTGTCATACTAATTTTCCAGACCAATTTAATGATAAGCTATTTTACAACTAGAATGTTTATTATTATCAAAGCTACATTTTAGAAGATTTATTTTTCTGTATAAATTAGTAAATGATCTGGTCTATTTGGATTCAGCTTGCAGTCTACACAATATGTAAAATACAGTTCTCATTGTAAGCGCACACACGTACACATTTTCACTATATGCCTAGAAAGATTACTTAATTTGCCCCAAATCATATGGCTAGAAAGTGGGAGGACTTGAATTGGATCTCCATCCTTCAGGAAGTGGGAGATGGCCAGGGCAGTGACACGTGTGAACTATGGAAAGAAGGATCAGCCTTGAGCTCAACATTAGAAGCAGAGGCCCTTATTTGGGAAGGACCTCTGTGTAAGGAGGACTGCTGTGAGAGTCAGGGAGGCTATTCCAGTGGAGAGGATCATCCATGTCAGTGAGGTCCCCAGTAATTAAGGAGGAAACCGTGATATAGGGGAAAGATGCTGTATTTGTTTTCTAGGACTGCTTGGACAAAGTATCACAAACTGTGTGTCATAAAACAACACAAATTTATTCTCACATTTCTGGAAGCTAGAAGTCCGAAATCAAGGTGTAGGCAAGGTTATTTCCTTCTGGAGGGCTCTGAGGGACAGTCTGTTCCATGCTTCTCTCCTAGCTTCTGGTAATTTTCTGCAATCCTTGGCACTTCAGTGTCTGTCTCCATTGTCACGTGGCAGTTTTCCTTGTGTGTGTGTCTTATAAGGACACCAGTCATATTGGATTGATGGCCCACCTTATTCCAGTATGACCTCATCTTAACTAATTACGTCTGCTACAACCCTATTAAAAACAGAGGTCATATTCTGAGTTTCTGGGGAGGATATAAATTTGGGGGGACACTATTCTACCCAGTAGAGATGCCTCGCACTTTAGAACTACTGCTCTGACATTTACTTGTTTGTACCTTTGAGAGTTTCCTTCAAGGATTGAAAATTTTAACGCAGAGTTTGTCATTGTTTTGTTGTCTGCTTTTGTTATTGTTGTTAATTTTTGAAAGACTTTAGGCTAGACATCCACTTTCTAGATCAACCCAGGCCTCCTTATTGTTCAACACCCCGCACCTTCAATCCTGTGCTTCCCCTGCCTGACCCTTGGAGGCATTTGAGTTTACGATCTGGACTTATTTCTGTGCCTTAGTTTACCCAGGTGGTTGTCAGACTTAAAGGAGTCGCTGTAAATAAAGCCTTGGGGACTAGCAGGTCCTTCCTCTGCTCAGGTTTGGCAGGATGGGGGAGAGGATTTCAATCCCTGCCAGGCACACCCTCCACCAGGGAAGATAATTCAATCTTAGGTTTTTGCCTTTCAGGAAAGTGAGTTTGCCTTGGAGAACAGTTGGCCAGGTCTGAGCTGTTTATTTTCTTCACTTCCCTTATACAAAAATTTACCTTCAGGACCCCAGCCAATGAGAAGCTGACCTTGAAGTTCAGGATGGGCACCACTATTTCCCCTGTCAGCCACCGCCTCTGTGATGTTCCTAGAGCCTGATGCTGCTGGGGAAGGAGCAGGAAAAAAGCAAGAAGAAACATGAAACATGTTCTGAAGACACCAGTGCCTGCTCAGAAGTGAGGGAACAGAACAGAAGTGACTCTGAGGAAAGATCACAGTAATTGGACTCAGACGAAATGGAATCCAAATCCCAGCTCTGCCATCTCCTCTGATGTAGCCTTAGGCAGGTAATTTCCATTCTAAATGATTTGCCTTTTCATCCAGAAAATGAAAAGAAGTGACTCCTCCCCTAAAAACAGTTGCTGTAAGAATCAGAGGAAATAATGGATGTAAATAAAGTGATTTGCAAACCATAAAAGCACATCATAAAAGTTAGAGCTATGATCTGCTTCCTCCTTCCTTAAACTTGTATTACCTTCTGGCTTGTTGATAGAGCTCAGTTCATTCAAAGTGGTGCAAGATGGTTGAGAAGAGTTAGAAGTTGGACCCTGGGGTTCCCTAAGAAGGCAGCCATAAAGGCTCCACATTCGGTAGCACTCTGTGTGCTTTGGAGTCCCTGTGTTGTTGTGTGCCATCGAGTCAATTCCAACTCATAGCGACCCTATAAGACAGAGTAGAACTGCCCCATAGGGTTTCCATGGCTGTAAATCTTTACGGAAGCAAACTGCCACATATGAGCTTGTTTTTCTGTCATTAAGTCTCTGAAAGAAGAGTTCGAAATATATTTGTAAAGAGGATACTCCTCTGTTTTATTCTGATTAGCTTTGAATGTATGGCAGCATCACACTATATGGCTAATAAGTTAATATTTTCTTATTTGGTAAAATTGCATTGTCTCTCCAGTACCCACATACTCTTGTGGTGTCTTCCAAAATGTGAAAATAAAAAAAAAAAATTAAAAACCTTAGGAATAGTTTCTCCTGCTTGGAAAGAATAGACGGTGTACTTTGGAACCAAACCTCACGTTAATAGTATTTTCAAGTCAATTCAACAAATACGTATTGAATGCATATCATATGCCTGATATACAGTAATTAACAAGGAGAGGTATGAGTCCATCCCTTCTTAGAGCTTATGGTCTAGTGATGATGGAAGTGGGGAATTGTAAACATATAAATAAACATATGTACAATAGTGGTCCCCACTAGGGAATGGACACCAAAATCCAAAGCAAATTTGTTCAAATATATACAGCATCATAACATTTTTCATCACTTTCATCACTGCATTAACCATCTTCAGAGGAGGGATATGTGTTGCTAAAGTCCCCCAGGTTGTCCACACACTCCACCTCATCACTGTTGAGAATCAGTGCAATACATTATGTATGTCCTGAATTCTTTCCATGTTTTCTTCTTTTTTGTAGGAGGGGAGGTGGAAAGAGTCTCAGAATGTATTTTTGAAGAATAATTTCACCAGATATAGAATTCTAGATTAATAGTTTTTTTTCTTTTTTAGCACTTTGATGATGCTATTCCATCTTTTTTGGTTTACATTGTTTCTGATTAAAAGTCCACAATAACTCATGTTTTTGTTCCCCTATTTATTATGAGTCTGTTTTTCCTCTGGCTGTTTTTAAGATTTCTTTATCATTAATTTTCAGAAATTTGATTATAATGTGCCTGGGTATAGTTTTGTGTTTTATTGAGTTTCATGGATCTGTGGGCTTAATTTGGAAAATTTTTGGCCATTATTTCTTAAAATATTTTTATTAAGCCACCCCCCCCCCCATTTCTGGGATTTCAATCACATATTTTAGACCACTTGATATTGACCCAGTGGTCACTGAGGTTCTGCTAATTTTTTTTCAGCCTTTTCCTTCTGTTTTCTTCAGTTTGGATAGTTCCTGTTAAGTTGTTTTCAAGTTCACTTCTTTTCTTTTTATACAGTATCTATCTGCCGTTAAGCCCATCCATTTTTTTATTACATGTATTATATTTTTCCACTTTAGACGTACAAATTGGTTCTTTTTAAAAGTTTATATTTCTCTTATTTTCATGTTTTCCTTTAAATCCTTAGATATATACATATATAATCAATTTTATTTATTTTTGCTCAGCAAACATTTCTTTTCAAACTTTTTTTATTGTTGTAGTTTACATGAAGTTTACATTTCAAGTTAGTCTCCCATACAAAAATTTATACATACATTGTTATATGACCCTAATTGCTCAACCCATATTGCGACAGCACACTCCTCCTTTCCACCCCTGATTCCCCATGTCCATTCAACTGACTCCTAACCATCTCTGCCTTCCCATCTCACCTCTGGACAGAAGCTGTCTGTTTGGTCTCTTATATCTACTTGAGCTAAGAGGCACACTCCTCACGAGTATCACTTTATGTCCCACAGTTCAGTCCAATCCCTGTCTGAAGAGTTGGCTTTGGAAACTGTTTCAGTTCTGGGCTAATAGAGAATCCAGGGGCCATGCTTTCCAGGGTTCCTCCAGTCTCAGTCAGACCAGTAAGTCTGGTCTTCTTCCTAGAATTTGAGTTCTGCACCCCACCTTTCTGCTGCTCCATCAGGGACTCTCTGTTGTGTTCCCTGTCAGGGCGATCATTG